ACCCAGAGGTGCCTCAGAAGAGCAGGATCCCTGCCTGACCTGCTGGGAATGCCCTTCCCGATGCCCCCCAGGGCACAGTGCAGCACAGACCTGGCTGTATCCAGAGCTGGGAAGGATCTGGAGCCCCAGGAGCAGCTGAGGGTGCTGGAAAGGGGCTCAGTTTAGAGCAAAGCAGGCTTGGGAGGATCTTCTCAGCACCAGGGTGGTAGGTGCCTCTGAAAGTGAATCAGCTCTCCAAAGAGGGCCAGAGGGGATTTTTAGGAAACGCTGTTCCACCTGGAATTACCTGGGGCTGGGAAACAGGAGCTGTCACTGCATGTGCTGTGGGAGGATGTGATTGGGAAAAGTCAGGAGTTCTGCCCAGAAGATTGAAAACTTTCTAGTTGCTCATGGTTTCTTTTCATCCAGCCCCAGGGAGACTTCTGGGATAAGAAAAAGTCATCAGAAAACTGCTTTTGGACTGAAAGGTGGTAGAGTTAGGGGAAATTAGGGGAGAATTCCTTCCCTGTGAGGGTGGGGATTCCTGGGATGGAATTCCAGGCTGCCCCATCCCTGCAAGTGTCCAAGGCCAGATTGGACAGCTGCGATAGTGGAAGGTGTCCCAGAGGGTGGAACTGCAAGAACTTTAAGGTCCCTCCTACCCAAACCATTCTGAAGTTTTGTGATCAATAATTCCATATTTTTCCCTCCTGCTAAATGTATTTCCCAAGGGGAAATTCTGCCCAAGCTTTATCTTAAGGTAGTCTCAGAGCTGTTGGAACTGCAAGAACTTTAAGGTCCCTCCTACCCAAACCATTCTGAAGTTTTGTGATCAATAATTTCATATTTTTCCCACCTGCTAAATGTATTTCCCAAGGGGAAATTCTGCCCAAGCTTTATCTCAAGGTACTCTCAGAGCTGTTGGAACTGCAAGAACTTTAAGGTCCCTCCTACCCAAACCATTCTGAAGTTTTGTGATCGATAATTCCATATTTTTCCCCTCCTGCTAAATGTATTTCCCAAGGGGAAATTCTGCCCAAGCTTTATCTTAAGGTACTCCCAGAGCTGTTGCATCTGTGTGGAACAGCAAGTACCGAAAGTGTTGCAATAATGACAAACTCTTTTCCTTTCTCCCTCTGTTGTGTGGGGCGGCTGCCTCGGTGCTGATTTCCCTGCTGTCGCTGTTTTGCAGATGGGGCACCCCGGAATGCCCCACTACCCCCCCATGGGGATGCACCCCATGGGCCAGAGACCCCCCAACATGCCCCCGGTGCCCCACGGGATGATGCCTCAGATGATGCCCCCCATGGGAGGACCCCCGATGGGGCAGGTAAGCAATTGCAGCAGGTTCTGTGCCAGGGCTCAGCCCTGAGGGGGAATCTCCTGGGGAAACTCGGGGTTAGAACTCTGCTTATGGGGAGCAGGGAATTGAGGCACCTCTGTAACTGGAATTGGAAACTGGTGTGATAACAGGTAATTCATGCACCTCCAACTTGAATTATCAGTCCATAATTCGGGATTTATTAAAGTTTTTTGCATGATAACAGGTAATTAATGCACCTCTAACTTTCAGTCAGTCATTTGGGATTTATTCAAGATTTTTTGGAAAGAAAACCGGTAATTAATGCACCTCTAACTTTCAGTCCATCATTTGGGATTTATTCAAGATTTCAGAATGAGAATAGGTAGTTAATGCACTTCTAACTTTCAGTCAATCATTTGGGATTTATTCAAGTTTTTTTAATAAGAACAGGTAACTAATGTACCTCTATCTTTAATTATCAATCCATAGTTCGGGATTTATTAACGTTTTTTGCATGATAATAGGTAATTCATGCACCTCTAACTTTCAGTCCATCATTTGGGATTTATTTAAGTTTTTTTGAATGAGAACAGGAAATTAATGCACCTCCAATGTTAGTTATCATTCCATAGACTGGGATTTATTAAGTGTTTTGGAGTGAGAACAGGTAATTAATGCACCTCTAACTTTCAGTCAATTATTTGGAATTTATTCAAGATTTTTTTGAAAGAGAACAGGTAACTAATGTACCTCTATCTTTAATTATCAATCCATAGTTTGGGATTTATTAAAGTTTTTGGAATGAGAACAGGTAATTAATGTACCTCTAATTATCAATCCATAGGTTTGGAATGAGAACAGGTAACTAATGTACCTCTAACTTTCAATCAACTATTTGGGATTTATTCAGGTTTTTGGAATGAGAGTAGGTAGTTAATGCACTTCTGACTTTCAATCAATCATTTGGGATTTATTAAAGTTTTTTAATGAGAACAGGTAATTCATGCACCTCTAACTTTCAATCAACTATTTGGGATTTATTCAGGTTTTTGGAATGAGAGTAGGTAGTTAATGCACCTCTAACTTTCAGTCAATTATTTGGGATTTATTCAAGTTTTTTTTGGAATGAAAACAGGTAATAAATGCACCTCTGTCTTTAATTATCAGTCCATAATATGGGATTTATTCTGGATTTTTGGAAGTTTCCTGTAGATTTTGAAGGGATAAGTTTGTCTTGGGACTTCACATTTCTGTAATTCTTGGCCAATTCCTCCATCCACACACGTGAACATTCCAGCAAGAGCAGAACCAAGGAATTCCAGAATTGTTGCAGAATTCCTGTTGGGGTCCTGGGCTTGGTTTGTAATCCCTGGATCCCATTGCTGCTGCTGCCCTGGGGCTGGAAAAGGTGACACAGCCACAACCATATCCCTGCTTTTGGCAGCTTTTCCTCTCAGTTCCCACATTTCCTGTGTGCTTTGGGATGAAATCCTCAACTCTGGAAAGAAATAATTCTCCTTGTGGGTTTAATGAATGTCCTTGGGATGCTCCTGTGGAGGAGAGCAGGGAAGGATTAAAGCTTTGGTGACAGCTCCTCTTCCTTTGCAATTCCCTGGGCACAACACCCATATTTTCCTTAAATCATAAGGGCTTGGCAGGAATTTTTTTTCAGTGGGGATTTGCAGCTTCTGGGGTAAAAATAATTTTAATTTTTAAAAAAATAGGAGGATTTGACTCATTAACGCTGTGTGTGTTCATTAGGAAGTGAAGTAGAAATTCTGGTTTATTACTCTGCTTTTTTGTACCTCCTTTTCCACAATTCCCAGGGGATATTTCAATATTTCACATTTTAGGGAACAACTCAGGAGTTTTTGGTAGCTGGAGAGCAAATGTAAGGTAAATGTCACACCTGGGAGTTCACCTTCCTTTGTTCCTTTATTCCCTGTAGCCTTGGGATTCTGCAGGAATTCATCATTCCCAACCTTTGCTGTTCCTGCTTCCACTCAGGATTTCTGTCATGCAATCAGCTCCCACATCATTTGCTGTTGTTCCTTCAGAGTTTCAATTGGTTTTGGTGTTATTTCCTGTCCAGCTTTGGAATCTGGACATGCCATTCCTAATGGGAACATCCCAGTTCAGTGGGAATGTGGTGAAGGGAATCACAATCTCACAATTTTTTTTTATTTTTCCTTGCATAAGAGGGATGTTTGGGTTGTTTTAAATTAAAAAGAAGTATCAGATAATGGTTTTTAAATAGAAATACAGTATTTTGTGTTGAGAATATGATAAAATATATGGGAAATGCTCTTGAATTGCAGATGCCTGGGATGATGCAGTCGGTGATGCCTGGAATGATGATGTCCCACATGTCCCAGGCTGCCATGCAGCCCACGGTTCCTGTGAGTTTCATTTATTTTTTTTTAATTTTTAAAAGTTCTTTGTAGAAGTTACAGTTAATCACTCTTGGCTTTCTTTAATTAGAAAAGAAGAATTGAAATTTTACATTATTTTCATTACAGTGGAGTTTTATGTGACTCTTGAATGATTATAAAATAAGATTTTTGTGATTTTCAGCAGTCTTTAAACTCCTTTTTGTTTTTATTTCATTCCTTATCCTTCACTTCCTGCAGTGTGGCAGGAATCACTGTGACCTTGGATTGTTTAATTGTCTGACCAAGAGATTCTTCTCTCTTAAATTGTAATTTTTTAAAGAATTTAAATTCAATACTAAAGACATTTGAGTCCATTAGAAAGAGATTTTTTATTAAAAGTTCCTGAAATCCAGTTGAGTATAAAAATTGCTGGAATAGCTCAAGGAATGAGAAGTTCTTTGGGTGGAAATGGAAAGGGAAAAATTAAAACAAAGGTGAAATCTGAGGGGAAAAAATATAAATTGAATCCTGTTCTTAAGAAATAAATTTAGTCCAAGCCTAAGAGATTCACTTAAAACCAGACCCAGCCATTAAATTTAGAAATAAATTATTTTTATGGGTTTTTTTCCCATGCAGATTTAAATCCCTAAATTCCTCTGGAATTTCCCCTAGTGCTGAGCACAAACCTTTGCTGTGCTGATTTGAAGCAGTGAAATTTCTAAAAATGAGTATTTTGGCCAGATTAATGCTCTTAAAGTACATTAAAAATTCCTAGAAATTACTGGTTTGGTCAAATTAATGCTCCTAAAATACACAAGGAATTCCTGAGAATTTCCTGATTTATTCCTGTTGGATAATATCAAATCAAATTGATTCAATGTGATTTATTTTCACTTTTTAACCATTTTTTTTCTGTTTTCCTGAGGAATATTTGAAGTTTGTAGCTGAGAAGTGAAAATAAACCTTAACCAAAGCTAAATCCATAAGGAGAAAATGGGAGAACTTGGAATTTGGTTGATTTTTTTCTTTATTGGAAGGAATTTCAGGCAGGAAGAGCTCCATGAATGCAATTTTAGTACACCCAAAGCCTTGTGCCCCATAATTATCCCAGCTAATGATGTTCCTAATTGCTTATTTAAGGAGCAGGAATAATTAAGGGGAAGCAGGAATCCTTGTTAAAGGAATTGAGCCTTTTGTGGCAGAAAAGCCTTGTTTGAATAATGAATATTGGAAATTTTTTAGGATTTAATTCCTCAGGAATTAATTACTTTATTTAATTGTTTAAATATTTAATTGTTTTAATTATTTTTACAGCCAGGAGTGAACAGCATGGATGCACAAGTAGGTGAGTAAAACAACTTGATATAATTTCAAAATACTTAAACAAAATCAGCTGAAATATTTAAAAATTCCACTTTTTTGCCTGAAATGGAATGGAGCATTTCAGATCTGGAGTCTCCATTGGTGCCCAGGACATTTTTTTCCTTGCACACATGGAGAAATATTTAGGAGAATGAAGCAACCAAACCATCAATTAATTTTTAATTGTTTATTTTTCAGGAGTAACCCCTCCTGGGACTCAGGTATGTTGAAAACACAATTCCAGAAGGTTGGAATTTCATTGTGGTGTGGGGCAAACTTGGTTGTGGGGATTTAAAGGAAAACCTTAATTCACTTTTTTTCTTCTGCTTTTTTTTTTTTTCAAGTTTTTGGTTGTTCCTTGAAATCTGTGGGCCTTGTCCCAGTGTAATTATTAAATAGATGATGTCCACATTATTTCCATGAGATTTCCATCCTGTCCCTTGGCCTGTCAGGAAATCCAATTTTCCTTGGCTGTATCCAATCCTCATCCACAGCAGAGATGCAGTCCTGATCCCAGGGAATTCATGGGAAAGCTGGCCATGGAAAGCAGCAGGAATTGTGGGAGGGAGCTCAGGGAACCAGAACCTTCCTGAAGCAGATTTTCCTCAAGCTGTGGGAACAGGGAGTGCTGCTGGAATTGTGACTTGGGGTTGTTCTGGTCTCAGCCCTCCACTTGCACATCTGGGGGAACCAGGCCCTTGGGAATGTGCATTTGAACAGCTCCACTCCCAAATAAGGAGGGTTTTTGGGGAAAATACTGACTGAAGGTGTGAATTTGGCTTATTTGTGCTGCTGAACCACTTGGAAAATCCAGGATATTTGGGTGAAACCCATGAGTTAGTGAGGATTTTCCATTGTTTTGTCTCCCCTCAGCGCATCCCATGGTGGGATCAGGCCCTTGGGGATCAGGCCCTTGGGAATGTGCAGTTGAACAGCTCCACTCCCAAATAAGGAGGTTTTTTTGGGGAAAATACTGACTGAAGGTGTGAATTTGGCTTATTTGTGCTGCTGAACCACCTGGAGAATCCAGGATATTTGGATGAAACCCATGAGTTAGTGAGGATTTTCCAAGGCCTGTTTTGTCTCCCCTCAGCGCATCCCGTGGTGGGATCAGGCCCATGGGAATGTGGAGTTTAGCAGCTCCACTCCCAAATAAGGAGGTTTTTTTTGGGAAAATACTGACTGAAGGTGTGAATTTGGCTTACTTGTGCTGCTGAACCACCTGGAGAATCCAGGATATTTGGGTGAAACCCAAATATTAGTTAGTGAGGATTTTCCAAGGCCTGTTTTGGCTCCCCTCAGACACCACATCCCATGGTGGAATCAGGCCCTTGGGGATCAGGCCCTTGGGAATGTGCAATTGAACAGCTCCACTCCCAAATAAGGAGGTTTTTTTGGGGAAAATACTGACTGAAGGTGTGAATTTGGCTTATTTGTGCTGCTGGACCACCTAGAAAATCCGGGATATTTGGGTGGAACCCAGCAGTTAGTGAGGATTTTCCAAGGCCTGTTTTGTCTCCCCTCAGACAGCGCATCCTGTGGTGGGATCAGGCCCTTGGGAATGTGCATTTGAATAGCTCCACTCCCAAATAAGGAGGTTTTTTTGGGGAAAATACTGACTGAAGGTGTGAATTTGGCTTATTTGTGCTGCTGAACCACTTGGAAAATCCAGGTGGAACCCAGCAGTGAGTGAGGATTTTCCAAGGCCTGTTTTGTCTCCCCTCAGACACCGCATTCAGTGGTGG